CCAAACGGCATATGCACATGGCGAGGTCGCGAAGCTTCTCGTCCTGCTCTGGCAGGGAAGCGCGCAGTGACGCGACCGCATACAAGCAGGCATGAAAGCTTGCCCCCTCCGGGCCCGCATTCCAGCTTAAATACCCCTCTCGCCCCCTGGTGTGAACCGCGCACCTCTCCCACACCCCCGGCCATCAACAAGCCCTCCTCCTACCCTTACGCCCTACCCCGACCCCTACCGCTGCTGCGATGGCCTCTCTCCCCATACTCGCAGCGGTCCCGGAGCTGATCCTCCTCCCGCTCCTCCCGCTCGCCCTCGCCTTCTTCGCTCTGGTGCTGCTGAACCCCCGCCCGGCACAACACGGCGAACAACGATTCTCCCTCCTCATCCCAGCGGAGGAGAAGGATCGCCTGGCCGTCCCCTTGGGCGGACTTAGGCCGGGAAGCTACGCAAGCAGGCACACGACCGTGCGTGCCCCGAGCAATGCGACCAGTCTCTTCCGCTCTGAGCTGGGGATCGTCGGCCCGGCCGTGGCAGCGGGCATGTGCTTCGGCGCCAGTGCCCTATGCGCAGTTGCCTCACTTGCTGGGGAGGAGGCAGCCACAGGCGCACTGAGCCGTTCTTCAGGAGTGCTCAACACGCTCGGTGTCTTCTTCGGTAAGCCGCGCCTATATGCACCCTGCCCAACAGGCTAACACCTCCGCAGCCGGGCTCACCCCAATCCTCTTCCTCACGCGCCGCTCGCTCACCCACATCTTTCCCTCCTGCGCGACCCTCCAACCCCTCGCGCGCCTCTCCCGCGCCGCGACACCCGAGCCGTACTTCCCGCGCAAGCGCTCCTCGTACCGCGTCGGCCTGCTCTTCCTCGGCCTCTTCTTCTCGACCCTCTACACCCTCCTCAGCACCGCCCTCGCGCCTAGCGTGCCCCTCCCCTCGGGCGCTCTGGCAGCCGGGCCGGCAGCAGAGATGCTCGCCCTCCTCCTCCCGCTGCAGAGCGTGCTGCACCTGTCGCCGCACCGACCAATCCTCATCCCCGCGCTCATCGCGCACTTCTTCGGGCTCGTAGGGCGCGCCGTCTCCCTTGCCCGCGCGCTCGAGCCGGCCAACACGCCCCTCAGCTCTGGCCTCCAGATCGCCGGCGCGGCGTGCGACCTGCTCTGGGTCTCGGTGCTCCTCCTATGCACAGCGGTGCTCGCTGCTACGCCCCTGCGGAACGCGAGCCCCGTGCCGGCGCACTACAACTCCCCTGCGCAACTCGCTCTCATGCAGGCCTCGCACGATCGCCCCGCCCCGCCCACCGCACTCGGCATCCCCCCCTCCCCGCAGCTCACAAACGACAGCGTGCTTGACATCTCCGCGTCGCGCAAGCCAGCCTCCTCCAGCTCCTCCAGCCCGAGCGAGGTCGACCTCCCGCGGTACACCCAGGCCGCACCCGTAGAGGCGCACGACCCCACCGCCCTCCTGCGCTCTGCGCTCTTTCGCTCGCTCGACTCCCCGAGCCAGCAGAGCGCGTTCGAGAGCATTCGCTCGACGCTCCCCGCGGACTTTACGCTCGCACTGCAAGGGTACCAGGGGTACTCCCCGGCCCTCTCGCAGGCGTTCGCCGCCCCGCCCGTGCCTGAGCTCCCGGCGCACATCACCCCTCCTCGCCCACGCACCGCCGGTACAGCGCAGTCCCTCCGGCACACGATCTCTCGGCTCGTGCGCACGCCCCAGCGACCGCGCACGGCCCCCGCCCAGGCTGCCTCGGCGGAAAATGACTGCAGCACCCTCCCCTCCTCGCGCCTCACCCCGCTCCAGGGGTTCACCTTCGACGCGGCGAGCGCGGCGGCGAGGCAGGAGGAGAGGGAGTGGGTGATGGACCTCGAGGCGAGCCCGACGGGTCAGATTGTCGCTACCCGGCGGGCAAGGGAGGAGGCAATGGATGTGAAGCTGCCCAGCAGGGCTACGGTGCCCAGGGACGGCGTGATGGTTGAGGTCGAGACGGAGAGCGACGCTTACGAGAGTGCGGAAGAGGGTGCGAGGAAGGAGTGATTGCGCCGCCGTACACCGTCCGCAAGCCTGGCTAAAGCACGCCCGACGACACGAAAAGAAGAACACTACTCTGAAGATCTTATCGACTGTAACGAGCCCTGGATCGGCTTTTACACTACACTCATTCTATTAGAGCCCGGATTGGCTCGCGCTTTTTCTTATGTAGCATATACGCTTGCGATTGGAACGAGGATGCGGAACGAAGATGGGAAAAATACTTATGTAGCTTTGGATCTAGCGGGTTTCGCGGTATCTCAGTGCCGGGTGATGTGTAGGATAGGAGTAATTTCAGCATTTGTTGATTATAGTTGGCTGGACGTGAACGATTTCCTTCTAAAGGAAGGCAGCAGAAGTACCTGGAGAGTGCGAGAAACTACGGGTCCCTTGCTGCTTTTTTCTGCTTCGTCACGATGTCACGATGAACTGCTTGCTGGCTGCTCAGAACGTTGTGCTCGCTTTTTCTCTTGCTGGCTCTGTCCGATGTGGGATGGCGTGCTCGTCCTTCCGGACGTGCAACCAGGACGCCGCGTATACTGGGCAATAGCGCCCTCGACGTCCTCCCTCGATGTCCGCATCGTTCACCCCCCTGCATGCGCTGGGCGAACCTCAATCCCCCCTCACACCTCGCAAGCCGCGCGTAGCGATCACTGGCGGCCTGGGCAAGCTCGGCCAGCCCACCGTGCTCGAGCTTCTCCAACACGGGTGGGACGTCGTCGTCCTTGACCGCCTCTTGCCACGCGTGCCAGAAGAAGGGGTGAAGTATGTGCAGGTGGAGACGACGGATTTGGGGCAGGTTGCCGAGGTGCTGAGGGAGGTCGATTCGGTGAGCGACGATGACAACATGTCGGGGGGGAGGGGTGTTGATGTGAGTGCAGCAATACAAAGGCCTCGACGCAGTCGTGCACTTGGCTGCCCTCCCAGAGATTGGGCAAACCGGCTCCTCCAATCAATTCCGGAACAACGCCCTCTCGACCTACCACATCCTTGAAGCCTGCCGGCAGATCGGGATCAAGCGCCTCGTCCTAGCCTCGAGCGAGACGCTTCTCGGGCTCCCGCTCGACCCGCATCCTCCCTCGCGGCTGCCTTTCACTGAAGAGAGCCCCAGGAGGCCGGAGAGCGCGTACACGCTCAGCAAGCTGGTGGGCGAGGTCATGGCGGAGCAGTATGCGCGCTGGGACCCGGCGCTGTGCGTGTGCAGCTTGAGGTTCTCCTGGGTGCGTTTTCCGGTGGCATATGCCGGAGAGTGAGCTGAGAAAGGCGCAGATACGCGCGCCGGAGGAATACGCGGATTTCCCGGGTTGGCAGGACGACCTCAAGGCGTTTCCGGAGGGGAAGTACGTATATTCTTGGTTGATGTCGGAGGGGTTGCTCACGCATAGATAGCTGCTGGAGCCACGTCGACGCACGAGAGTAAGCCGTCGTTTCGGCGTATGCCTCCAAAGCGCTCACACCGCACAGCGGCGCCCAAGCGATCCGGCTCGCCCTCTCCGCCCAGCTCAACGGCCACCACGTCTTTTTGATAACCTCGTCCGAGACGTGCATGTCAACGCCCTCTGCCGAGCTCGTACAGGCCGTATATCCAGGGGTGCCGTACGAGCCTGTCCCTGGCAGAGGGGAGAACCAGACACTGCTGAGCATCGAGAAGGGGCGGAGGGTGCTGGGGTATGAGCCGAGGTGGAGATGGAGGGATGAGGTGGATAGGCTGAGGAGGGAGGGCGGCATTCCGTGATGACCATGGTCATGTGCAAACGTCTTGTTTCGGAAGGATTGGGGACACAGGTGCGAGACAACACTTTGATCCTGGGTATTCCGTAACGTACAAGGGTAACATACAGTGTTACAACAGACGAACAACACCTTATCGTACAAATGAACCATTCTCTTCTTCCATTGTTGCGCATATCATGCATTGTCGCCCCAACTCCCCGCTCATGGGTATCCCTGCCAACATAGGCCGCCTGGTGGCTTCCATCCTTCCGGACCATGTCGGATCATATGGCGCATAGCTGCGTCGCGTCGTGCTGTGGGCCATTGGCTGTCTGGCCACTGCCGCGTATCCCACTGCCACTCTCATGACCTCCAACCGACGATGTCACTCATGATCATATGCTCGTTCTCGTTCACGCCGAGCCCGAGAGGGTTGTGGTGCGGTGTTCGCTCCGCAACGTGCGATGCTCGCTGCATACCTTGGGCACCGCGTTGAACCGTCTCCCGTGCGAACTGGTTCGAGATTGTCCGAAGGGCGATGAAGCCACCGGCGCCTGGAAAACCGTTGGTCATCCGATTTCAACGACGGTGAAAGGCGCGTACCACCGAGGAAGGCCTTGGCGAATGATAAAGGAAGTGAGATTGTTATGAGAACGGTGTGTTGGGGTCACTAAAATGACAAGTGTTGAAGTCAACGACACTGGGATGGCGAACTTGAAATATGCGCAGGGAGGGAGTGGTTTGGGTACTATGTGTGCCCCAAGGCGGAGCGGAACGCCCTATATGTAAGTCCACCCTTTCCCCATCCACCCGCTCTCGGGAGGTGCCTCCGACCGCCCACTGCGGGCTTACCCCGCACTCAGGCGCAGCCGGGTGGAATCCCTGCAGGGTCCGAATCCCCGCCGAACCCACCAGAAAGTGGCAGCACCTGCCGCTGGGGGAGTCAGCGACCCTGCGGCGGAGGGGACGTGCGGGTGACTGGGGTTTGGCCGGAAGTCCGGGGGCGCTGCGCGGAAGCTTGGCCCCGTGGAGGTCTCGGTGGAGAAACGCCGCACATCCGCGGACACTGTCCGCGACCTCGCTGACATCCACGACACCACTCTGGCACTGAGGACCACTCTCCCGACACGATTCAAGCCATATGCCGCATCCGAATCGACCTCCTGTGGGGACCCCTCCTCGAACAACCCCATTTGGCCTTCCCGGACCTCCCGATGATCGGAAAACTTCCGATTTGAAGCGATTCGAAACGGGCAAAAAGGATATTCTGGTCAAGATGGGTCTCGAACCCACAGCCTTCGAGTCAACTAGAATATTAGCTCGACGCGCTAACCAATTGCGCCACTCGACCACAAGGTGTACGAAGAGAAAAAATTTTACTTATATACTGCTGTGACGGAACTTTTTCCTTCCGGGGAACGAAGACCCTGATGTGGCAGTGCTATTGTGACGCGCGATGTACTTGGGGTGTACCTTTTCCCTAGTAGGGTCCGGAAACGCGTCCGACGACTGCCAGTCCTATCAGTATTCCGCTAATATTACACCGTACGGCCAATGGCCTCAATATCCCACGCTCTTGGCCATATCGACCAACGCGTCCTCCAGCGTCCTCCACTTCCCACCAAGCATCAGTCGACCCTTCTCGCTATCGATCTTCTGTGTACTGCTCTCGCCGCGAGGGCCGTCGATATCCTCGGGAAGTTTGGCCTGCGGGAAGTTCTTGCGCAGGATTGCGAGGAATTCATTCGCTCCACAGGGACCGGCAGCTGCCCAGATGCGGGTGTTGGAAACTGTCGCATCCGTCAAAGAGAGGACATGGAGTGCACCGGTGTCGCGAACGTCGATGTACCATTCTGAACGACCAATGAGACATGTCCGGCTATGCGACAGAAACACGTACGAGGTCCCAGTCGCTTGACGTCGGTGGTGTCGCCTTTGAACAGTTTCAAGACCATGTCTGCCGTCGACCGTGGTTGCCCGAAGATGAGCGGCCCAAAATTAGCGTTAGGCAAGAGTGCTACCAAGTCGAAACTGGGCTGTCCAGATGCAGTCAGAGACGTCGAAGTCCGAATCACCATGCTCACCTTCTGCTCTTCCATCCACTTCCACGCTTCCCTCTCAGCCAGCGTCTTGGCAGCCCCGTAGATGTACTTGGCTTTCTCGGCAGGCGGGACGCTCTGGAAGCGCTGGATAGCACCATCATTCCAATCCTTGTCGTCCAGCACCTTTTCCGTCGGTGGTTCACTATGAACAGCCGCGCTACTGCTGGTCAGGACGATCCGCTTGACCGCTCCAGCCTTCTTTGCCGCATTCAGCAGAGCGACGTTGCTGGCGATGCTGTCCTGAACCCAAGTTGCACTGGGTTCCGGAAGGGCGACGTGGATCACTGCGTCCACGTCCTCGAATGCCCGCTCGAACTGCTCTTGCTTCGTGAGATCGTCGATGACGGTGAAACACAGCTTCTCCGGGCTCGCGTCAACGCCGAGGCTCGTATACGCCTCCCGCAGCTCTTCGCCCCTCGCACGAGAGCGGACAGTGCCGCGGACATGGAATCCAGAACGAAGAGCGACCAGTCCGATGTGCGAGGCAATGTAACCGGTCAGCCCAGTTATGACAATGAGAGAACCGGGCTCGAGGGTAGACATGCTGAGGATTGCAGGCTTGGAGTATGAAGGCGAGGCCGGTTGTACTGTCGCTCACATTACATGAAGGGCACGGCTATATAGTAATCGACAGGAGATCCGAAATGCGCATTTCGCGGCATTCGTCCGGACTGACGCGTGGGCTCGGTCGTGTGATGGCAGTTCCCGCTGAACAAGCACGACCAGCCAAGAGTACTGAGGCATGACTGAGAACGGTACTTCCCCTGGTATATCTAAGCAGCTGAGGACATGTCGATGGTGACGAATGAGATCGATGGAAGCCTTGTCCCACGAAGGCGCACCCGACGCGACATGCAGCAATATCGATGAACCCACGGCTCGGTCAAAGACCGGACGAGCGCGATTGCACGGAGGCACTTTCATGAGATATCGTGTAACCACGACTACCATCCTATCCAAGAGGAGCCCAGGGGAATACGGAAGGTGGGATAGTGAGACGAATACGAAATAACGAACGCGACTGATCATCGCTTTCTCTTGCCGCCCTTTGCCGCCCCACCCTTCCTCGCGACTTTCCCGGAAAGGCCCGCCTTATCTTTGGAGTTCGTGCGCATTCCCTCCCGTCTGCCTTTCTCTGTGAGATCGCGATCGAATGAAGACTTTGGCTTCTTCTCCTTCTTGCCCTTCTTCCCGGGCTTCAACGACTTGGAAGGCTCGGGCAAGCCAATCTTTGTCGGTCGGAAAGCCTTTTTCGCCGCTCGGATTGCCACCGTATCAGAACGCTTGTGATCGTGGTCCTCGTCCTCCTCCATTGCCAGCTTGCGACGTTTCGCCTTGCGGGAAAGGCCGGAGAGTTTGTCGCGCTTCGGACCAGCCTGATGAAGTATGAGCGTCTGGAGCGGAAGAGGGCAGAAGATCACTCACAGTTTTCTCCTCCGTCTTCTTCTCCTTGACATTGGTTGCAAAACCACCAACATACTGCTCCTTGCTTAGATCTACCTTCCGGTTAGCATTGTTTGCCTCGAATTAGAGCAGATTGCTCATTACCTTGAGTGTTCCTCTTATCCTTCTCACTCTGGAACCAAGTCCTCGCAGGGCGCGAAAAGATCTCCTGCTCATGCTCGATCATATTCTCGCCCTTCTTGAGCTCCATCTCGGCCTTGCGCAACGCCTTCTCCTCCTTCTCCTCATTCAGCACAGCGTCGACCTCGTCCTTCAGTCCGTCAAGCTTGGCCGCCATCTTGGCGACCGCCTCGGCAGGAACGAGCCGGTGCTTGACCTGGTCCGCAGGGCTGTGCTTGATAACCGCCTTGAGCATCTTCCGGTCTGCTTCACCGACTAGGGTCACCGAGCGACCTTTCAAGCCGGCACGAGCTGTTCGGCCAACACGATGCAGATATTGGGCGATCTGGCCGGGCATGTCGTAGTTGATAACCGTTTCGATGCCGCGGATATCGAGACCACGGGAGGCAAGGTCGGTAGCGAGCAGGAAGTCGACATCACCGTCCTTGAACTGCTGAAGTGCTCGGAGACGCTGCTCCTGAGTCAAGTTCCCGTGCAGTTCGCCCGCCTTCATCCCGAGCAAACCGAAGAGGATCCGCATCTGATGTGCAAACGCTTTGCTCCTGAAGAAGATGATGCACCTGGTGCGGAATGTGCGCCGACACAGGGTCATGAGGATCGCGGGGCGATCGTCCTCCCTATTGTCCCTGACGCGCACGAATTCCTGGGTAAGGCCACTGGCGGTGCTCTTCTTCGGGTCAACAAACAGCCGCACAGGCTTGTTCATGCCCATGCGAATGAGCTCGTCGACAGAGTCCGTCATCGTCGCGGAGAAGAGCATCGTCTGCCTCGTCCTGGGGCAAGCAGAGATGATCTCCCCCAGCTCGGCCGCAAATCCCTCCTCGAGCATCCGGTCGGCTTCGTCCATGATGAGCACGTCGAGCATGTCGAGTGAGAAGGTGGGCGAGTTGCGCAGGTGGTCGATCAGCCGCCCGGGAGTGGCGATGACGACGTCTGGCCGGGTGCGGAGTTCCGTTTCCTGGGCTTTCAGCGAGAGACCACCGACGACGAGGCAGAAGCGCACGTCCGTGAAGCTGCCGATGCGCGTTGCCACCGCGTGGCACTGAACGGCCAGTTCTCGTGTAGGGCACAGGATAACCACCCTTGTTGCGGCTGAGGCTTTGCCGCGATCTCTGAACAATAGCCGTTCCAGGATGGGGATGACAAACGCGGCCGTCTTCCCGCTTCCCGTGACGGCTCCTCCCACGACGTCCTTCCCCAGAAGCGCAACGGGGATGGTAGCTGCCTGGATAGGGGTAGGCTTGTCGAACCCGACGCTAGCCAGAGCCTTGAGCAGCGGGCGCGAGAGGTTCATGCTCTGGAATGTGGCGGAGGAGGTAGAGGAGGTCGGGTCGGGCGTGTCGAAGAAAGCCGCTTTTCTCGATTTTTCTGCTGCGGTCTCCGGCTGGGAGGAGCCGGAGGAGGAAGCGACCGAAGCCCCATCGTCGTCGTCGTTGTCGAGGGCTTCAGCATCGTTTGCTTCATCATGGTCCTCATCTTCGTCCGAGGAAGCGAGCGGGTCAGCTTGCTCTTCCTCTTCTTCCTCTTCAGCAGCTACCCCGAACCCTTCATCATCTTCCTCGTCCTCGTCCTCGTCCTCGTCCTCGTCTTCCTCCCCATCCCGTTCGCTCTCATCTTCGGCATCATCATCCTCGTCCTCGTTCTCTTCCTCCCGCTTGCGCTTCAGCGACCCACTCCCATCCCTCAGCCTCCTCCTCGCAATAATATCATCCACCGAAATGGGTTCCTGCCCTCCAGTCAGCCCCTCCCTCCCTCAAACCCAAACCAACGAACAAGGCAGACTCACAGGCTTGCTCCCGCTCTTCACCACGTCCACCATTTCCGGCAGATCCCACGGCTCCGCCAGCCCGACAAACCCGCCCCCGGTCGTGTCGAACGTGAACTCGGTGTCGAGCTCATCGCCCTGCGTTTGCGCTTTTGGCTGCTTCTTCTTGCCAGTTCTGACACCAGGTGGGGCGTCGATCTCGAGTTCGGGCTCGGGCTCCGAGTCGTCCAGCTCTGCATCCGAGTCGATCGTCATGACGAAATCATCCTGTATTGGTTTCATCTTCTCGAATGCTAGACCGACGAAGAGGTAAGGGTATCCTTGACGGGTATGTGACCAGTGAGAGCGGGCTGACGAGCGCCCGAAAAAGTTGGGCAAGACCCTTGCAAGGCCAGCCGTTTTCACGCGCAATTCATCGCACCGAGCGGGAGCATTCTGCAAGCTCCGTACGGTACCGACCGCACGCCGCCGTAAACACAAGGACATATATTTCTCTCCGAGATGTGCTGAGGGCATCCTTCAATCCTCATGATGTCGAGTCCCCAACGACGAAGTACCTCTAGCATCACGTCCAGTTTCTGTCAGCACCATGCGAGGTCATGCGGCACATAGCGGCTGTGCGGCCCATGTCCCAAAGCTTCCCGCTCCGTTGGGGACGACCATCTGTGTCGTCCCAACGCTGACCCCTCTTGCCAATCCTGGGGAAACTCGGGGCTCAACAGATACACTTGACGCCAGCTCATGACTCTTCTCCCAAAGTATTTGATTACCGGACAGAACGCGCTAGAACTCCAGGCTGTCTGACTGCCGCTTTGGGGTTCTCAACCTGGGACCCAGCCCAAATGCGGGTTCACAAGCGTCTGATGGCGGGGCAGCCGCTGCCCAGCATCTGCCCGTTCC